GCAATTCATTTTAAAATTTTTGAGTAAGCAGAGCAATTGGTTTTAATTCTTGAATAATAAAATATTAACAAAAAAAAATTAAATATAAATAATTTTAAATATGAAAGTATTTAATATTGTATGGCAACTCTTACACGTGGAAAGTACTAAATGAAGTCTGCAAATTTTCCAGAGAAGTAGAATGCACAAAACTACTTAAATTTCTGGAAGAGAAATCTATTTTAAACAATTACTTTTACTAATTGGGAACAACATTTTTTAGTTTTTTAGTCTATATATATAATTTAAACAAAATACAAAGCGTCTTTAATGACAACAATAAAGTACTGCCATTTTAAATTGAATTCTATAACAGATTCCCCTTTAAAAGTTAAGTTCAATTCTAACAAAACCAAGACTATATTTTTAACAAAAAACAGTACTTAAGTCCCAGACGATTAAAAATCTAAAATTATATACAAATATTTGGATATAACTCTGTATAATAGATCAACCAGAATTAACATTAAAAAGTGAAAGTTCTTTAAACCAGCATTAGCCAACAGGTGATACAAATAATTACCTCCAAAAAACGACATATTAATACTCAAACCAAATCTAAAATAATCAGATTAAACCATCTATACGAACCTATGTTATTATGTAAAGCGACGAAATCAACAAACGAATTCTGAAACTTTCTAAAAGAAAGTTTTTAAAAATGTTATGCATGTACCACGGTTTATCCGAAACCTACACATACATATATATGGACGTAAATATAACTACCATCAAATAAAAAAAAAGATAAAGTTCTATAAGGTTTTTTGAAGACAGACACCCACTACAATTCCAATTCTTAGCATTCATTAAGATCAAGGAATTTAATCAACATGTGTGAGAAAAAACAACCGCGTAAGAGACAACATGAACCATAGCTAACCGAAATTGACAGTAAAATCTATATAATGTTAAACCGTAATAGAGAGTGAAAAATTATTCATCGGCATTATCAACAAATTACCGATATAATGCGAAAGCGGTTCCAGATGAAGAAGAGCGTTGTTTTGGTCCGTAACTACACAATGGGTGTCGGGCACGATATTCCAGTGACTGTCGGTTCAACGTTAGATGAATCTTTTTACCTCCTCATCCATAAAAAAAAAATAATTATTAACTAAAAAAAAATATTAACGGAAATGCTTTTTTTATAAGAATTTACCTGTAACATTGATTGTATCGATCCTTATCGATTTTCAGGAAAGTTCAGCAAGTTTTCATAAAATGGCTTCTCTTCTAGAATAGAACGATTTTTAGAACTTATTTTTTCTTCGTAAACTTTATATGAAAAAATTTTATTATCTTTGAAGTTTACTGCAGATATTTACTAAAGCTTACTTCGTTCAAAAATAGAGTTTCCAGTTATTGTTTTCCAAAACAGTTTTCTTCGTTAAATGAAGTAGTTTTGATGAACGAAAAGTTTTTGTACGTACTTTGTTATTCTAGAAGAAAAAAAAATTTATGAATAAATAACTGTATATAAAAAGACAAGTCCAAAACTCGGATAGGTAGGGAAACACTTCTATACTTAGTTTCAACTGTTTGAACCAATTAATTTCAAACTATATATCTGGTCCTAACTTACATAGGGATAAAAATATTAAAAAATTTCATTATTCTACAATTACGCCCTTATTGATTTATTAAATATAGGTATATAAAAAACCTCACCTTGAAGTTTATTTATCTTTTTTAACAGTAATTATTTTCCACCTGAAGTTTTGCTGATTTTTTTTTGAAACGAAATAATTTTTAATATAATTTGTTTACAAAGTTTTATTTTTTACATATCTACATAGCTTACTTTGATTAAACAAAAATCAGAGCTATCAAATAAAGATATCTAGATATCTACTTTTTTGTTTAGTAGCCAGAATAGCGCAGCTAATACAAACCGCTCTAAGTAAACGGGAATCAACCGGGATGACATAGCCAAAGTCAATTTTGGGATCCCTAGCGGGCTGATTCAAATCATCGTTAGCTTCCTGCAAGAAAAGTCCTTCCGAACTAAAATCCACAGCACTACTCTTTCGTCCGCACGAACAATAGTAGCAGGTGTACCTCACGGCAAACATCCCCACCTTAAGCCCCGTGTCAATGGCGCTTTATGCAGACGACACGTGCTTGATCTACTCTGACCGGGATGCCATAAATGTAAACAACACCTTACAGAGAAATATAGATCTCATAGTACAATACTTCCAGAAATGAAAGATTAAAATTAACAATGACAAAACCAAGGCTATATTCATAACACAAAAGAAAATGCAGCATCCTTCAGGAGTAAGCGTCGATGGCACGGAGATACGGTTGGAGGAAACCATATAATATTTGGGGGTCACTTTTGACAAACGGCTTAATTGGTATAAACATATGAAATACAAACGGAATAGTTGCTCTAAAATTCTACATCTCATAAAGTTGCTGTTTAATAATAATCGCTTCAACCTCAAAAATAGAAAGTTATTATGTACTCAAATAATTACACCAGCACTACTGTACGGATGTGTAACATATAGCAAAGCCTTAAATACTGCCATTAAGCAATTACAGATAACACAAAACCTGGCTTTAAAAAGACTAATAAGGATTCCTTGGTATATTAGAACTACAGAGCTGGATAGAGATCTAAGAATCGACTCAGTGAAAAAATATATCAAGGACAGAGCCCTAGAATTATTCACAAAAGTCGATACGTTGCCCAACCCCGCCATAACAAACCTGAAGTCCACCTCAGGCCGCACAGGAAGATATGCTGTCCTACTGTCCGTCATCAGTTAAAAGATAAATAAACGATAATAATTTAAGTATAGTTAAAGCTTAGTGTGGGGCAGGCATAAGTCCCCCAGCAATAACAACACAACAGTAGAACATATAGCAATAACAGACATTTACTTCTTATTTCAACGTGAATATAAATACAATGCCTCAATTATATAATTTATAGTATTTATGTAAAATATTTATACAATAAATTAAAATTTATTAAAATTAGAATAAGACTTATCAAAATCTCAACACAAAACACAGGTGTATTCAACAAAACTAGAGCTTACTTACCACAAATATATTTAAAGGTGAATATGTCATTCACCACAAGAAAAAGATGCAAAAATAATTATTCGTAGAATTAAAATTTTCACTTCAAGACTGAATTTGCTTAGCTTTTTACTGGTTATTATTTTCTTTTCTGAATTTATGAATAATTGTAAGTAAATAAAAACTTTATCTGAACCAAAAAACTATGATTACTATTTTAACTGCTGTAAA